AAAATGGGCCCATTTTTTGTCAAAAAAAGGGCATGCATAGCCTCTAGGAGGCTTATAGAATGCTCCTGGGGACTGGGTGGTGGTGCAAAAACGAGCAAAAAATGCCTCGTTTTTCACTCATTTGTGACCTCCACAGCTCCCAGGAGCACTCTGGAATCCTCCTAAAGGCTATGCAGGGCCATATTTGCAAAGGGGGCAGGGTTTCAGGAGGCAAAAAAAATGCTGTATTCAGTGTATAAGATACACCCAGATTTCCCCCCTCTTTTTTGAGGGAAAAAGGTGCATCTTATACTCCGAAAAATATGGTAAATCAGATTAAATGAAAAAAACAAATGCTTTGCTCCAGTTGTATTGGGAAATTTTAGTGAGTGTTAGTCAGGATCCAATTTGGGTCACTAACCGGGACCAGAGGTGACTCATAAGTCCAGAGTTCAGAAGTCAAAACCTTTGGCCCCAATGACCGACACAGATTGGAGCCTGCAACATTGTCCTGGGGGCATGTATATTCACCTTCATACGTGAGCGAGTGTTAATCGGATCAGCGGAGAGCTCAGTAGTTAGCTTTTAGACAGAGTTCTCTGTAACTTTCCAGTTAATATGTGGGTTATTGGTTCAAAAAAGGTTTTGGACTTAACCATATCACTGTACATCAACTTTCTCCCAGGGGCTTACCAATTATGTTGGATGATAGCTCCCATTGGTATGAATGGGATGGTAAGTATTGCAGACTGACCTATGTACAAGGGAATCCGCTTCAGGAAGGCCACTGTATTTTTTTTTCTTCTTCTCATTTTTTTGAATACTTCTAAATACAACATCCATTCAAGGTGGCTAAGACCCCTTGTCATTCCTGGGTTTACCCTGGTTATGGTGGCAAATCAGCTGTGCATTTCAAATATGGCTTTGATTCATTATTGTTTATTAAGTTGCACATCCTGTCTTTCAAGTAAAAGATTTAAAACTGTGGAAAGTGAACAAACATTATTTGGATGGAGTACACAAACACACAAATCGCTTTTCAATTGGAGTGTGAATGTTAAATCTCTGGCATGCATCCTTGAGCTTATTTTCATTTGGGCCGTGTCATGATTTCCAAAATTCTCTTGAAGACTGATTAGAATCTCTGGTAAGAAATTATTTGTCCCTTCTCTAAAAGCCTGCTACTTGAATGGGAGAGAGAAAGAAAAGTTTGTTAGAGATTTAGTCACACTTCTAGCTTCAGATTCCTCCCTCCCCCCATTATGCAGTCTCAATAGAAGAAATGTTGTCATCAATTGAAAAAGAAGTTCCCTTACCAGTTTGTTTCCTAATATATAAGCTGCATGTTGAACGCGGTTCAACTAATATATAAGCTGCATGTGGAATGAAAAGAGGCAGAGTTTGTGACTGCAGGTAAAGTGGCAGGGAATACTCACAGAAACGTGGACAAACATCATAAAGGTAGTCCTTGAATTACAACAGTTCATTTAGTGACCATTTGAAGTTACAACAACACTGAAAAAGGTGACATGACCATTTTTCACACTTATGGCCATTGCAGCATCCCCATGGTCACGTGATTTATATTCAGATGCTTGACAACTGACTCACATTTATGATGGTTGCTGTGGGGTCATGTAATCACTTTTTGTAACCTTCTGAGAAGTGAAGTCAATGGGGAAGCCAGATTCATTTAACAATCGTGTTACTCATTTTAACAACTGCAATGATTCAGTTAACAAATATGACCAGAAAAGTTTTGCCTCGTTTTGCAACTTTTCTGGTCATGTTTGTTAACTGATTTGGGCCTCAGCAGCAGAATAAACAGTGTAAAAAAAATTACTTGGTTTACTTTCTTGGTTTATGTGACTTACTCTGTATAGTTTGGATTACTTGACATATTGTTTACATGGATTCTCCCAGCCCACCTCCAGAACATAAATATCCTTAGTTATATTCATTTGTCTAGGCACTTCAAGATTTGCATTTTCTATCCAGGAGTCTTCAGTTTGAAGAAGAATGATTATTTCAACTTTTAGAGACTGCTTAACTAAATGTGAACATTTGTTTTGGTTTCTGTTCAGGCCAACAGATATGGTAAATTCCATTTCCTGCCAACATTATTTAGATGATGTCAGTTTCTTTCAGAAGATCCACATATAGCAACAATATCTGAAAGAGGGCAACAGTTGTGTATGCATGCATTCTTTTCCATGTAACCAAGAACTTGATAGAAAAGAATTTGATGTTGCGTGGAAGCCAATAAGTGTTTTTAGTCAAAACTTCTTTGACCCTGAAATTGAAGTATCTTTTTCATTCGTAATGTATGTCATCCATTTTCTATTGTTTACTTCAGTCTTAATTCTGTACCTTTAATGCAAAACAGTTTATAATATTGTACTTCAGACTGATAGATTGTACAGATTTAATTTATATTTGTTTCTTTTTTATGACATTTACTGTATTTTAATCCAACTGGAATCTGTAGTCGTTGATTAACTCAGATTTATTCTTTACCATCCTGCAGTACTCTAGACATCTCTCCTATCACTTCTTCGCCTGGAGTAGAAAAGGGAAAGCTTGATTTCTGATCATGAAGCACTGATATTTACCTAATAATTTTAAAAAGAGAGATTTTAAAAAGAGAGATTAAGGTTATGCAAAAGCAGTTTGCATAACCTTAATGACAGCACTATGATATTAACATTTCTATTTCCAACAAAGATGATCAGGGGACTGGAGATTAAAACATATGAAAAACGGTTGCAGGAACTGGGTATGTCTATAATTTAATGAAAAGAAGGACTAGAGGAGACATGATAGCAGTGCTCCAATATCTCAGGGGCTGCCACAAAGAAGAGGGAGTCAAACTATTCTCCAAAGCACCTGTGCTTTGGGCCAAGAAGCAATGGGTGGAAACCAATCAAGGAGAGAAGCAACCTAGAACTACAGAGAAATTTCTTGACAGAACAAATAATCAGTGGAATAACTTGCCTCTAGAAGTTGTGAATGCTCCAACACTGGAAGTTTTTAAGAAGATGTTGGATAACCATTTGTCTGAAATGGTATAGGGTTTCCTGCCTAAGCAGGAGGTTGGACTAGAAGACCTCCAAAGTCCCTTCCAACTCTATTATTCTATTCTATTCGCTGAAAAAGTATACAATAATTCTGTTTGATTTTGTCTTTAGTATGCCACTGTTGAACAAAGTGGAGAACGTTACATGACACCTGAAGATTTTGTCCGGCGATACTTGGGACTGTATACTGAACCTCATTTTAATCCTAAAACAGTGGATTTATTGGCAGGAGTAGCAGATCAGACAAAAGATGGGTGAGCAATCTACCACTTAATTGTAACCTTTGATAGGGAATGATGTCATTTTAAATTGCAATCCAAAAGTGAGAAGCGTGTGAAGGTTATCACATGTTACAGCAGTTTCTGTTGGTTTAAGAAACTATTATTTAGTTTTCAAAACAGTCACTTCAGCTATAATGGTTAAGGGGTTGAACTGGGACTGGAGAGATCCAGGCTCTAGACCAGGGGTATCCAACCTTTTGACTTGCCTGGGCTGCATTGAGTGAAGATGAATAGTCTTGGGCTAAGTATAACATATATAGTATATTAGCTTTTAATAAAAAATCACATGAGTTACAATTTTATGGGGCCACATTACTAGCTATCCAGAGCTACATGCAACACATGGGTGATGAGCTGGTCATGTCTGTTCTAGATCAACCTCAGCCCCAGAAGTTCCCTGGGTGACTTCATGCTAGTCTTTCTTCCTTAGACCAGCCTGCCTTAAATAATTGTTGGGAAATATGGGAGAAGACAGGTGTATGCACGCTGCTTGAAAAGCCAGGTATCAGTCTAATAAATGAACAATTTAAAAACTGAAGATTAAGCCATTAGATGCTATGGTCTAAATTATGAATACATGTAACATCTTTGGATTACTTCTTTAATAAATGAGGACCCATACTGTGCTTGTTGTTTCTGTGAGCAGACATGTGAATATAGGGGGGAAATAGAGTAAATAACAGCATGATATAATAGTCTCTAAGGTAGGGATCAACTACCCAGGCTCAGCAGATGTTGGGACAATATATTATCCTTAAACAGTGGTCCTGGGTCTCCTCTACAGTTAAATTAAAATGAATTAAAATTAAAATTACTCTTTTTAAAAAATGCCCAAATCTTGATAAACTGTAAAAGTACTGAAATCTTAAAACAGCTTATTGGATTTTGATATTCCTTTACAAGCCTCAGCGTGAGATTACCAAAACCTTGCATATTTTAGTGATGCCATAACATTTCTGGGCGTTCAAAAGATAGGATAATTTGACAAGCTAAGCTTCTGGAGTCTGAATCACAAATGTTGTTATACGTGGCAAGAAAACTATTTGCCGAATCAGAGTTAATGCTTCTTTTAAGTATTTCTTGCCAACAATATTTTTATTTTTAAATTGCTTATGGAAACTAATTTACAGATTATCCATTCTCTTCAGACATAACCTTTTAACCCATGCAGTTTTAGAGCAGCTCAGCAGGCGTCCTTTTCTCATTTTGCTTTCTTTGGATCTCCAATTTTATTTTCGAGAAGGGCAGATGTTTCTGGACAATATTCAGGAATTAAACACAGTGGGGTGCAAAGGCCACTAATACCATTGGAGGACACTGATAGAGAGGCAATTAAAGGTTACTTGCAAAGTTAAATGTAGCCTTTTTTTGTGGGTGACTGGCAGAATAAATATCTCTAAATTTCATTTTTGTAAAATTAAAAGCCTCTTAAATTCCTGAGGGTTATTTGGTGGGCACATATGACCTTTGCTGTTATTCTAAATTATTCTTTCTTTCATTGTGTTGTTCATTAAACATAAGTAGCTATAAGTTGCCAAGTAGATGAGTTAAATTAATTTCTAACCATGCCAGAAATGACGCCTTATTATCACTGCAATAAAAGGACATGCTGGCTTTTCTTCTTAGATCTCCTTACTGGGGCTGTAAATGTTGCTGTAGGATAGAGGTACATTTTTTTAAATAAAGTTTTTTATTTTTTTCATTTTCATAACAAATAACCACATGTATAATATTACATAACCAACATCATATTATATTGCTAAATGTTTACATCGATTTGTCTTAACATCAACTCCCAAAAACAATTATTGGCTCTTCTGGTCTCTTCTGGGCTCCATACACCATATTTGTACTCCATCACTTAGTTCTCCCTCTCTCCTCCCCGTGCTTCCTTTCTTCCCTTCTCTACTTCGCCTTCCTCTCCTCCTCTCCCCCCTCTGCCCCCTCTCCTATCCCTCTCTTCTTCCCTTACATAGAGGTGCATTTTTGAGAGCTGGAAGTTGCATTTCATCGTTTATTAACATATTGGTAGCTATATCTCCAAAATAGTCATTGACTAAAGAATAAAGACTAAGCTTGATCTGATTTAAATTTAATATGAACAATTATGCATTTACTCATTTTGAATATTACCTTTGGGGACAACTTTTGGAAGTCCCTGGAGGCTGTATCTGGGCCTTTGGGTTGTCTCTAGGAATTCAGGTTGGGAACTTCTGTTCTTTTGTCACTTTTTTTAAATTTGATTTGTCTCTGCCTTCATTACAAACTTAAAGGAGAACTCTGCCTTCTTTTCTATAGGCTAGTAAAATTTTCTGAATGTCTTTACTTCAGTGTTCCCCTTCCTCTTCTTTGCTATATATAGCAAGTGGAGTGGCTGAGATGTGCAATAAGGCCAATTTGTAAGGGAATACAATTGCTGAGTTCAATAGAAAGATATGTGTTGTTTATTATGTAGATTAAGAGTAAGGAGCTAATGCAGAATTGAAGACAATTGAAGAAAAGAAAAGGGAAAGTACACTAAATCCTGGAGGCCTAAATATCTACATTTCCAGGACAAATATGCATCCAGGCAAACACAAAATTCAGAACAAAATACTGGAGGACTAAAGATCCAAATAACTCCAGCTCAGGTCAATCCATAACATAAATTTTAAAAGGATGCTAATTTGTATCTAGCTCCATATTTTCAGTAAATGGTCATTTTTAAAATGATTTTCTAGCCTTTTTCCTGATTGGGATGTGTTCCTTATCCAGTAGAAGCTGTTGGAAGGAAGGTCAAAGCCAAAGTGGAATTTGCCTTGTCCCTTTTTAAAAGCAAACCAGGAAGAAAACCTTCCTGCTTCTGATTGGGTCTGTGGCAATTCGCTGCAGGACAAAAGTTACACTTATATCAAAGAAATGGTGGAGTAGAATCACTAAAGAAAGGATGCAAAAGGAGGGACAGAATGACACGTGAAAGGCAAAAATTAAAATATTTTTCATTTCTTTTAAATAATTACATAGAATTGTTAAAATTATCCCACAGCGAGTTGGCTGTGGTGAGTTGTCCCATTCCACTTCTTGATTAGTTGCTTAGAGTTTGAATTTCCTAGGATTTGCTGCATTTTGCCCATCGTCTAGATTTGATAAGATTTGATTGTTTCATAACTGAACCTCTTGAAATATTTTCTACCCCATCTTTGCACTTCCTTCCGCTCTAAAATTTGTGATTTTTGATTCACAGGTTAATTTCCTTCCAAGAGTTCTTGGCCTTTGAGTCAGTTTTATGTACACCAGATGCAATGTTCATTGTTGCTTTCCAGTTGTTTGACAAGAGTGGCAATGGCGAAGTGACATTTGGTAAGGGCTAAATATTATTTATGTCATGAGAAAGGAGAATATTTTGAGTTTTTATTTCAGAAATCTCAGAATAAACATTGCAGGACAAACTGCATATTTCTTTTTAGATTTAAATGCAGGACCTATGTAATAAGTCATTTAAAAACACAACATAATAGTCTAACTGTAGTGCATGAACTTTCCTAAAATAACTGGTACAAAGCTTGTCTTTGGGCCAATCTAGCTTCAAGTAATTAGTTTTCCCTGAGTTTCCAGAATAACATTTGAAAGCTTCCTTATCAACTCATTTTTTGCCAAAACATCAGCTGTTTGATGTGAGATGTTATTTACTGCCCCTGCTCTGCAAATGTCCCAGAAATATATTCCCCCAGCATTCCATTTTCACGACATCAGTCACAGTACTGATGGATCCATGTGTAAAGAAAAAAAAGTGTGTCTTTTTTGCTGCTTTAAATTGGAAGAAAGGAAAGAAGCATGCTTAAAAACAAGGCAAGAAATAAGAATGGGCTACATTTTCAAAACTTTGAAAGTTAGCATGTCAAGTTTCCTTCTGGATATTTTGCTAGTATGGAGTTTCTTGTCTTGTTTCTGGGTTTGTTTGTTTTTTTTGCATTTTTCACTTGTTCTCTTATGTATTCATTAATACTAAAATCAGACCTCAGATGGCTTTGCTCCTGCCTAGTATTTTATGATGGTAAACATTGAATGTTAATGGCTTTGATAGGCCTATAATGTAATTAAATTAATGGCATTATCCAATGTTTTCTGTTAAAGGTACCACACTTTATGCTTGAGGATGTAAGTCACTTATTTTCTGTATTAATAGTCCCCTCTGAACATTTTATACGTGTGTAAAAAGAACCAGTCCCATTTACCCTGTCCAATTGGCATAACACAGCTGGGAAACACCAGGAATGGGAGATCTACCTGAGTGTCTCCCTTTCCAGTTCTTTTTGCATACAATGCAACTTAATCATGCTATAGAGATCAAAGTCCCTTTGCGTATAGAACACAAATTGTGTTCACATGCTAGTACTAAGTAGATTGATTTGTGCACATGCTTGCTTTCCTAATTAAGTATGCCAAATAGGAAAAAAATAGTTTAACAATGTATTCTATATGCTTTATACTGATTTTTCCTGAAATTGTTGCTGTCTGCACAAGTTTCAATTTTCCCTCACTGAAGACTTCCACACTAATTAGTTGCTCTGTTACAACAAAACAAGCCATATCAAACTTTTCAATGGGTTAAATGTACAGTTCCTAGAATCACAAGATTGGATTTAGAAATTGTTGTCTCACCACATTAGAAGGCCAGGAGGTTAGACATCTGGGCGGTACATCTAAGAAGATGTTTCTCAACATTGGCACCTTGAAGATGTGTGAACTTCAATTAGCAGAATTCCTCAACCAGCATGGAAATTGAAGTCCATACACCTTCAAGCTGCCAACCTTGAGAAACTCTGATGTAAGATACAGAAACACTATATAGTAGTTGTGCAATCACCATAGTACAATAATTCCTTTTCTTTTCTAGGAATGGAAATTTCTGTAAAATAGAGAAGTCTGACATTAAAAGAGAATAAGAAAGGTGTAATTTGGTTCATTAAATATTAGAAACTACTAAAATATCAGGCATCCCTTATATTTCTATTGCATTTTTACTACTCTTGGTAACTTTGCAGAAAACAGTGTAGTTTGAGTTGACTTCAAAACTGATTCACTTTGATTGAAAGCATTGTCCATTCTGTAAAATGCTGGAATAATGAAACAAATACCATTCAGAATGTTTCAGTATTATTTGTGGCTGCCAGGATGAAAAGGCACCTTTGCTGGAGATAATTTGCTGGGAAAGAATTCAGGGGTACTTCTGTATTGTATATAATTCCTACCTTTATTGTTTGAAGACAATGAAGTGGTGGGAGCATTGTTGAGTTTATATGCAGCAGAATGCGTTCTTTTTTCCAGTAGGCCCTCAGAAGTTTTAGTTTTGAATGTATATTTGGGAATGGGCTGCTTCAATCAAGTAAACATAGTTTGTGGATTAAAAATAATCCGGCCAGGCTTATTGATGAAGAATTTGAGATATTTCCCTCCTATTTGTTTGCCAATTCATGAAGTGACCTATAAAAACAATGGCAGGTTTCTTCTCATTCAGCTCATTTTTTCCCCCCTGAGACAGGATTATAGTTGTAGCACATCTTACATTCCATTTTTTTTTCCTTTTTCTCACTGAAGGAAATACAAGTTGAGTCAAGTCTCAGTGTACTGTTTGGAAGCATAGAGTATCACAAGATAACATGAAATTATAATTCCAATTGTACATTATAATGTATTAAGAAAAAGTTCTGAGGAAATTGCATAGTCAGTTGCAAGTAAAACTGCAAAGAACAAGAAGTATTTCTGAGCTAGCTGAAAAAATAGAAGTTGTTTGTCAGTATAGTGACACACCCGTGGAAATCTCGGTGCACTCCAGATTCCCTGCTTCTCCCCAACTCTTTTGTTTTATGATTGGGTGAGGCACTAGATGGCCTTTTTATTCCTGGGCAGGTGAACGACTTCTGTAATTTTTGCCAGAAAAGGGCCTGTCTGTATCCTGTTAACACCATCAGGCTTAATTTGAGCATATAGTTACATTTATACTGTTTATATTTTATTTTGACACAGTATATTTTTCAAATTGAATAAAACAAAGCAGCTGCACCCAGCATTCACCACAGGGTGTGATGAAGTACTATATTCAGTAAAGGGGCTCCAATAGTTCTCAACATTTTCACTGTGATTTCCATTCCGATCCTGTTCTCGTGATTCTGTGACTTTTGTGGCCGTTTTGAACACAATTCCAGAAATAGGTAGCTGTGACTTTAAGCATGAATTTCAGACATTTGGACTCATGAGTTGGTTTGGACAGGTCATTCAAGAGAATGAATCAACTTGCAGATTAATCCTTTGAACAATTATGTCTCTGAAGAGAGACCTGTAAGGTTTAATGAAGGTCAGTGTATATACTGACTCCAGCTTCATTGGAGGACTCTGGAGTTTAATATTTTGAAAGAGGGAGAAAAACCCTTAAAAGAAAATGTTTACAAGTTGAGGTTTCTGTACTGTCACTTGTGTAATTTTAGTGTCAGTCCCTTTCATGAAGAGGTAAGAATCTTCACTTATGAAATATTAGGTGATAATATGAAGCTCATTGAGCACATGACATTAATGACAGCTTAATGTGAGATTAGTATGGAAGTATAACAGAAATAAAATAGTTTCTAGCTCCTATGCATCCTCTTTCAACACAAAACAACTGTATGTAGGCCATTCTTTATTTATTTAGACAGACAAATCTCCCTAATCCAAACCCATGCCCAGCAAGATGCTTTGATGGGCAACTTTGAGAAAATATCTTGGATCAGATATAATGAAGATTTCACCTGAAGAGTGAGATCCCAACATATTTTACAGGGCTGAAAATTCATGTTCTTTAGCAAATATTTATTTATTACATTTATGTGTCAACCATCTCACTGACCAAGGCAAAATAGGCCCAATAATGGGATATTTTAAATATTACTATAGTTTGATTCTTTATATAACATTCTGTCAGTTTTTTCAGAGCAATCATCTGAAATAGTTAATGTATTTTTCATGCTGTTAATGACACAATTTGCCGTACGTTTCATATACATATACATAATAGTGGCATTTGCACAAGCGTGAATACGATAATCAACTCTCAATCACTGCACGCATAGCCTGGAAAATATTGTGGTATACAGAAATATGGGTGTTCATTGCTTTTCAATAAGGTCTTAATTTGACACATTGGAGAATCAAGAAACACAACACTGATTTTATATCAGCATGCAAAGCACCAGGTATTTCTAATGAACAAAATAAATTGCTCCTTAATTAAAGTTGAACAAGGAAAAATCATGGTTCTCACGGATCTGCATAATATAAACATAGAAGTGGAATTTGGAAATAATCTATATGAAGATTGTTTTTGTGTTGCAAAAATAAATAGCTTTCTAACCTCTATATGTTTTTAAAAAACTCTGAACAGCTCCTGAAAAGTAATTTCATTTTCTGTTAAAAGAAAGTAAAGCAGGGCTGACTTTTTATTTTCTAACATGTTTATTCTTTTTAAAGAAAATGTAAAAGAAATATTTGGACAGACCATTATTCATCATCACATCCCTTTTAACTGGGATTGTGAATTCATTCGATTGCACTTTGGACATAATAGAAAGAAACATCTGACATACTCAGAATTCACTCAGTTTTTGCAGGTCAGTAGCTTTTTATTTATTTTTCTCTGTAACATAATGTATGTTTCTTGAACACAAGATCATATTTGCAAAATAGTAATAAATTACATTGCTATTTCAGTTTTCAGTATTTTACATTTTAATGCAAATAGAAAAATGGTTGTTAATAATCTTGCTATCCTTACAACATGACAACACATGATGATGAACTCCATATGTGTAGCTTTCTTCTGTTAGTTTTAGTGGGGTGGGTGGGTGCGTTGGTTGGTTGGAAGAATGCAAGGTTACAGTTACCAGAGAAAAATCAGTGGGGATTCTATGCATTATTCTCATAGGTTTTTGGAATAAGATTTACCAAACATTGTCCCTTGTACTATGATTTCAGGAGCTGCAGTCAGAACACGCAAGACAAGCATTTGCGCTGAAAGACAAAAACAAATCTGGCTTAATCACCGGCCTAGATTTCAGTGAGATCATGGTTACTATCCGTCCACATATGCTTACTCCTTTTGTGGAAGAAAACCTAGTCTCAGTAAGTAGCCGGCAATCTCTGGATCAGCTGTTGCTCAGATTGTAATGGTTGTCTTTGGAAATAAAGAAGAATCTATCACTGATGCAACATTGTTTTAGCCCTACTAGGATTGTTTTAATGAGGCCATCATAACAACGCTGATACAAATTTGCAGAACTAGAAAATAGGAGAATGGTAATATTGGTGGGAGAATCAAGTTTTTTCAATTAGAATTTGGTACAATTCAAATAAAACTAACATTTTGGAGTCGTCTGTTGTTTTTGAAGTATTAATACTCCCACTCTCCCCAATGAAAATTGAAAGCTTGTATATAATCTTACCACTAAAAAATTTTCCTTTAATTTTTTTCAGACGTGGGATCAATCAGCTACCCAAATCCTCCTCTTCATATTTCCTAACATACATTTGTATGGTTTATGACAACTGTTATGTTAGACTGTCACTAATTAATGTCAGACCATTGAGTTGAAGACTAGCACATTTAAACTGGAGAAGACGTTCAGTGACTTTCTAGATACTTTTTGAAGAACCACTTCCATTTACCTAGTTGATTGGGTGGAATGGACTTTTCTGGGAATACAAAAGTTCCACTGGCCTAAATGTTAGTGTTAGGCTCGAAGGATTGGAGCCAGAGCCTGAGTTGTAGCTCAGAAAGATTTATTGCTCACATTTGTACATAAGAATTTGATCAGCTAAAAGTCAGCACTAAATTTGCACTAGAAAATGGCCAAGGAATTCAAGGGGGTCTGGACTTGGATCTCTTGTGGCAATGCAAGGACTCTAAACTGATGGTGGGTTTATCTCCACTCTCCAGCTCTGCCTGCCCTTCTCCTATAGTTAAGGACTAAAGGATTTTCTGCTCACTATTCTGCTTTGAGCACAATAATATTCAGATGTATACTTTACCCTCTGAGAGTTGGTTTAGATATCTGTTCCAATTTTTAATTATCCAAGAATTTTTTTGGTGGGGGTGAGGGCTTTCATTTGCCTCTTTTTCAGTAGCAAAAATTCCTTTAATTGGAATTCCTTGTATATCTTAGCACGTTCTAGGTCTGTTAATAAATCTATTACCAAATGAAATTTGCTTTTGTCACAGTATTTCCAATCTTCTCATTCCCTGCTTATTTGGAAATTGAAATGTAAGGAGAAATTCTAATTCATTGAGGGCCGCATCAGGACTGTGGTTGACCTCGCGGCTAGGCGGGGTGGCTGACTGGGTAGGTGTGGCTGACTGGGTGGGTGTGGCCAGCTTGACGACACTCTCCAAACTGCTGGCATGTTTCCTCTTCTCATTGGGTACACTGGGACGAAGCTACACTGGCCTGATCTTTCCACTTCGCACTGGATACACTGGGCCAAAGCTATGTTGGCCTGATCTTTCCTTTTTGCACTAGGTAGACTGGGCCGAAGCCACGTTAGCCCTGTCTTTCCTTTTCATAATCAGTAGACCAGGATGGCCCCCTGGATCGGATCCAACCACATTGTGGGCCTTGAGTTTGACACCCCTGTTCTAAACGGATGATAATTATTTTCTCTGTGTGATTTTACTGTGTTTTGCTTTCTCCAAGGCTGCAGGTGGATCTGTCTCGCATCAAGTCAGCTTTTCCTATTTCAATGCTTTTAATGCTCTGCTGAACAACATGGAACTTGTTCGAAAGATATACAGTCTCCTAGCAGGCACTAGAAAAGATGTAGAAGTTACAAAAGGTAAAGGAGTCAACCTCATTATTGTTTAGATTACTGACGTTTAATGCTATATAGAAAACAAAGCTGGAGCATCCTATCTTTAACTCTAGACCCCTAAGGGCAGGAATGGTCAGTAAATGGTACCCCACCCAACCTGTAAGTCTCCTGTAGAGTTTTATTGGAATGTGCATTCTCAACCCTTTTTTGCCCTTTTTATGTATTTGGAGAAACTATTTGGTTTAATTATCTTAATTAAATTAAGATAATTAAGTTTCTGTTAATGGAGAAAGACTTCTCTCTGAGATGTCAAAGAGCCAAATCAGGATTGTACAGGGACCATACTTGATTTGGGGGCTGTACCCCAAACAATTAGTGGGTCTGGCAGAATAAAGCTCCATTTCTAAATATTTTAAGTTGTCTGGGAATATGGGAAACATTTTGGGATTGTATATAAGTTTGAGAGATGATACAGATCTTTTGGACTTCAGTTAGCTTAATTGACTCCAAATCATATTATATAATTGCCTGCCCTTTGAAACATCATCTGAGATTAGATTGGCTTGGCCCCATCCATGCTGGCCTTGAAAACGTAGTTTTGTGTCTGACCCTGGGGACTTGGGGGGTGTTGACAGAGCCCATCTCCTGATTGTGTTGATAGTTGCTGAGCTGGTGCCTGACTGCTATGTGTTTTTCTTTAATATTATGTATTTTGTCTATTTTACTATAGGCCTCTTAGAGTCATGTGTGTGAGATGGGCAACTATATCAATCAATCACATAAAATTGTCTTTAAAACATGAATCCTCTGCAAGAAGGATTTGTCTCGCAAGAACCGGATAATTCCTGTGACATTATTGAACAGTGTGTTTCCCTCTCCCGTAAATCTACTTAGTACAACACATTTAATAGAGTCATCCTGAGAGAAACCAAAAGACAGACATCTGCATTCTCCCCTGTTATTTGTATTGTGATTTTTTTTTTAAAAAAAAGACGGGTTTTACAAAAAGTTGATGGCCCCCTCAACCCTGCTTTTGTCCCTCCAAAGTACCCTTAGAAGGTTCAGAACAATCCATTTTTGGTTTTGCAAGACTACCAAATATCAGGCT